GATCATTATTGGTCAAATTAAACAATTATTAACGCAGTTCGATCACGTGATGGTCAACAGCTGATTTATTTAGGTTAATTAATAAAATAATAATTATTGTTATCAAAATAAGTCACAGGTTGACTCAAGAGAAACGAGAGAGAACCGATAGCCCATTTATTTCGGTTAATTAATAAAATAATGATTATTATTAGTTAAATTAATAAATCATCAGCTCGGACGGGTCAAAAGATGTTTAACAGCGAATTAATTCCAGCTAATGGATAAAATAATAATTATTATTATCAAAATAAGGCACAGGTTGACTCAAGAGAAGCGCGAGAGTATCGATATCCCATGTATTTGGTTAATTGATAAAATAATAATTATTATTTTCGAAATAATTCATAGGTCAACTAAGAGGGAACGAGAGAATGTCAAAGGTTCGTTTATTTCGGTTAATTGATAAAATAATAATCATTATTGGTTAAATTAATAAATCATCAACTCGGACAGGTCAAATGATGTTTTACAGCTGATTAATTCGAGCTAATGGATAAAATGATAATTATTATTATCGAAATAAGTCACAGGTTGACTCAAGAGAAAAAAGAGAGAATCGATAGCCCATTTATTTCGGTTAATTGATAAAATAATAATTATTATTTCTAAAATAATTCATAGGTCAACTAAGAGGAAACGAGAGAGTGTCGAAGGTTCATTCATTTCGGTTAATTGATAAAATAATAATAATTATTTCTAAAATAATTCATAGGTCAACTAAGAGGAATCGAGAGAGTGTCGAAGGTTAATTTATTTCGGTTAATTGATAAAATAATAAATATTATTGGTTAAATTAATAAATCATCAACTCGTACGGGTCAAATGATGTTCAACAGCTGATTAATTCCAGCTAATGGATAAAATAATAATTATTATTATCAAAATAAGTCACAGGTTGACTCAAGTAGAGCGAGAGAGTATCGATAGCCCATTCATTTCCGTTATTTATTAACTTTTATTTATTAACTTTTCCATAATCAAATACGTCGTCTTCGTCGGCCTTAAATCTTCCTTAACTAATTTCATCCCTTTCATGTACCCTTTTCCTAGTTTCCTACAGCAAACCATTAATTTTCCTTATTACAGGGCACCCAATACCTAACATTCCTTCGTGATGAACTTCCTCAACTCCTTAATGACGTTAACGAACAGCCAACATGGTTTCAACATGGTTCCAGACACTCTCTCGTTTCCTCTTAGTTGACCTATGAATTATTTTGAAAATAATAATTATTATTTTATCAATTAACCAAATACATGGGCTATCGATACTCTCTCCTTTCTCTTGAGTCAACATGTGACTTATTCTGATAATAAGAATTATTATTTTATCCATTAGCTGGAATTAATCAGCTGTTAAACATCATTTGACCCGTCCGAGTTGATAATTTATTAACTTAACCAATAATAATTATTATTTTATCAATTAACCGGAATAAATGAACCTTCGACACTCTCTTGTTTCCTCTTAGTTGACCTATGAATTATTTTAGAAATAATAATTATTATTTTATCAATTAACCGAAATAAATGGGCTGTCGATACTCTCTCTTCTCTTTTGAGTCAACCTATGACTTATTTTGATAATAATAATTATCATTTTATCCATTAGCTCGAATTAATCAGCTCTTAAACATCATTTGACCTGTCCGAGTTGATGATTTACTAATTTAACCAATAATAATTATTATTTCATTATTTAACCGAAATAAATGGGCTATCGACACTCTCTCTTTTCTCTTGAGTCAACCTGTGACTTATTTTAATTATAATAATTATTAATTTATCTATTAGCCGGCATAAATCAGCTGTTAAACATCTTTTGAATTACCCGAGATGATAATTTATTAATTTATCTAA